TACACTTTGATATTAGCTAATATTAATTTCATTCACTAGTTAAAACTATTTCCGAACAATAGCGTATTGTTTTATTAGGAGTAAAAATTATGCTTTTTTTGGCGATGCTGTGCATTTGACGGACCAGTGTAAAGCTATTCCGACTTTACATACTTTACTCCGAATAGAACATGCTATATTTTTTTAAAACATTACAAATAATTTTTTAATCAATTTCAAACGTTGCAAATATATCAAGCAACAATTTGTACACTCATGTTGAATTTGACACTTAATATCAGTTTAATAATATATTTTTGTACTTTTGAGCTTCGGCGCAGAAGTCCTGTACTTTTATGCCTAGGCGTTAAAATGACAAAAAATAATACTTTTGTGACGTTTGAAAAAAACCTTTTGATCTGATACGAGCGACTTTTTTTGGGGAATACAGGGTGAGTTTCCTACGATGTTCTCTATGGGTATCTCGGAAACTACTGAAGATAGAGAGTCTGTTAAATGGGGAAAGAATTGCTGTTTTATGGGGTCATAAATATGCGCCTTTCACATTTTTGAAAAAGTTCATGGCTTACTAGATATTTCGAAAAAAACAAATTTCGGCTATTTTAAAAATTGTCCCTAATTCCATTATAAGCTATTTTAGACAAAAAGTTTTCAGATAAAAGTTGTAGATAATCACATCCTTAATGAGACTGTGTCCGTTTTTTTCTAAAGCCTGTCATTTTTGACATATGACACAAACATATGTTTTTTTAAATGGAAACCATAGTTGGCCATGACTTCATAAATAGCACCATTTGTTAAGCTTTTTAGTGATATAAGCTATAATATCTTTTCTTCGAAAAATTATTGAGTTATAGCCAATTCTTATCATTTTTAAACAAATTCATTTAGTTAGCCATGGAAACAAGTTCAATCGCCGTTGCTCTTACGGTTCTTTACAATTTACATTACACAAACAAAAACTTAAAAAAATAATATCACTACATACACTATAAGTTATTTTAGAAAATGTTCAAAAAATCTGCCATTGTTTTGAGTTGCACCTTGGTAAAACTGAATTACTATATTCTCATCCCAAGTAGCATTTGGACGTTATCTAACGTCGGGTATACGTCGCGTTCAATAAACCCGACGTCGGGTACCAACGTCGGTTCGACCGCCTGACGACCCTTATTTGCACCTAAATGGGGAATACAGATTCAGGTCGCCTCGACGTCGGTATCTGACCTAATAGGGAATGTAATTCTACCAATTACCAACGTCATATTACGTTGGATTTTAGTTACTTAAAATTCGTCGCTAAGCATTTACGTTACTACTAAACTAAAAAACTACCTAATTAGAAATGGATTCATAATCACTCCTCGAATATAACTATAAGTGCCTATTTAATTTCATATTATAATAATTCTGAATCATTAATCCATACATCAGTTTTGTCAACGGAAGTCACTTTCTTGATATATCTGATTAAAATACTCCGGAAAACAACGAGCGCCTTCAAAATTAGGTAGATTTATGAAATAAAAATGTCTATAAAAAGTAACTCGCAAAATATTTTTAAATTTTCTAGCTGGTTTAATCATAAAACTGTACTGTGGTTCCCCAAACTCAACCTTATCAATATTATTCTACTAGAAATCGAAATGTGAATATAAATTTTAAAAACAAAAAACGATTTTAAAATGGCTGACAATCGGATACGTGTTAAGAATGGCGGATTTCTGTGTCCCACTCAATATGAACTACCAATATACCAATTCCGACCGGGTCTCCAACATTAGTCGTCTCACACGACCGAAGTCATCAAACCGGACGACCGGCAATCGTATTATGACGTATATAATTCCAACGTACGCTACGTAACCTCACTTTGCGTTTTGCTTATCAATGATTTGTTGATTTATGCAACTATATTTTAGTTTTTGTTTTCTCGTTAAAAAAAATGGGCAGCCACTTTTTTAAGCCTAACCTCACATGTCGGAGGAGGATGGGGTCTGTTGGTATCCTAAGCTAAAAAATGAAATTAAGGCGCAATGCACACTGAACGGACGTCAGGCGTGGACGTGGCACAGACTTATGGTCGCTTCTACGTCTCTTCTATGTAATTCAATGGTCCAATGCACACGTGGTGCTGACGGCTGCCATCCGGCCCTTGCCACGTCTCTTTCCCGTCACTCGTAGCGTACAGGAACAGGCACGTCCGTTGAACGATACTTGAATTTAATATTCAGTTTTGTGAAGAATTTGAAGCATAACGTCAAATGTTCCACCCGTTTTCCCCTTCTTTAGCCACAGTGGATGAACCCAAAATTGTCTGTTTTTTTTGTACATGCCAAGTACACCAAACCCAATATATCTCCATCAGAACTTGAACAATCCATGTTCTAATCTAGTCGGTAATTACAGTTGTAGCCAAAACTATGACTCTTTTGTAGTTGTAACCAAAACTGTGAACTTCACCTCTCCGTTCCTAACTGACCGAAATTTTTCGTCACTACCCTGTCCCTTCTGTGTGGATTGGCACACGTCACATCTCCGCCGCGTCCGTGTCCCGTCCTTGCCACGTCCTCGCCCTCGTCCGTTCAGTGTGAATTGCACCTAAGATGCACCAGTGTAATGCAGCATCTCTTTCGGATAAAAAGCATTTACGGGTGGAGGCAAGACATCACTACTACTATTATTATTTTGCAAAAGCCTCGACCTCTTTCTGTAAAATGTAGATGAATGTCTAAATGCCTTTTTAGTGTTTTTTTAGGCATAATAAAAAATTTAAATTTGTTTACAAAAACTTTTTATTAGGTTATGTTCATGATGTTCATTAGGTCGCAAATGCTACTTAATGGGTTGTATTTACGGACATAAATAGAGATACGTAAATTAGAGGTTATAAATATGAACATGAAATACAACAAAATATAATTGGACGTTAGTTTAGGGATTATCAGTGAGACGTATCCTATTCGGACAACGGGTAGACGTCGGGCTAGTTCAAATATATGTACGTCGTGCAAGCCAACGTGGGAACGACGTTGGGAAATTAATAAAAATGGTACGTTGTTATTTTGTACGTCGACATATCGTTGGATTTACCGACTCGGATCCAACGACGTCGCTTTTAATAGGAAAGCGACGTCACAGGTCGTATCACGAGCACCCGACCTAAATTTGCACAAAGTCTGACGTCGCTTCAGGTCAGATTTAGTTCGAAGTCAGATAGATGCTACTTGGGATAGAAGGACCGGTCGATTTAATTAAACTTTTCTCGTACCGCCACTTCTAGTGCCTCTCTTAATTCATAAGTTCTTTTGTAAACCTTTAACAACAAGGCTATACCGCATAAAAAATTCTAAAATGGATAGGTCAGGTGATCGGGGAGGCCCATGCTATTAGTCCACCTCTTCCTATCCCTGCGGTTGTATAATTATGATATAAATAATTTTTAATATTTCTCTCATAATGGGGGTGGGGGGTGGTGTGTCATAATGAAAGGTCATGTTGGAACCACTCTATTGATGCGCGAGTATCTACACGCTTGTCTTCATTTGAAAAATTCATATTTACAATTATGATCCGCCTCGTCTTGTAATTAAGATAACATGTAGTACTCCCTCAGACGTACATACCACACGCTGCGCGGTTCCAAAAATCCAAAATCTTCAACCCTGGAACTACCTGCTGTTTGCCCTATAACCTCATTCATTCGCAGCGTGTCGTACCATACGCTTGGACCGCGTCCGTTACGTTATCCCCGTTTTAGGGGTCGCTAGTGCGTGGTTCGTTGTGCGTAAATTGTGTACCTGTGTTTCAATCCCTAAAAATGCCTAAAAACACTAACATTTTGGAGATTCGTAAACGAGGAGTTTACTATAAATGTCGAATAATCTTCAAAACAGACCCCCGCCGCGCACCTGCGTCGCGTCGGGGCTCTAGAGGGAAACAGAAAGTGCAACCGCCGAATTCATCTACCAGGTAGTAATTAATAATAATTATAATAATAATATCATTATATTGCAACCAAAAAGCATGTTAACAAAGGTAAAGCGGAACAAGAAGTTCTTTACATATGTATTTTTGATTCAATCGCTTCTAAATTTTGTTTATTTTAATTTACAAAGTTTGGATGTGACAGCTTCACATTTCTGAGAGCAATGGCGATTGAACTTGTTTCCATGGCTAACTAAGTGAATTTGTTTAAAAATCATAAGAATTGGCTATAACTCAGTAATTTTTCGAAGAAAAGATATTATAGCTTATATGACTAAAAAGCTTAAAAAATGGCGCTTTTTATGAAGTCATGGCCAACTATGGTTTCCATTTAAAAAAACATATGTTTGTGTCATATGTCAAAAATGACAGGCTTTAGAAAAAAATGAAGGACACAGTCTCATTAAGGATGTGATTGTCTACAACTTTTATCTGAAAACTTTTTCTCTAAAATAGCTTATAATGGAATTAGGGACAATTTTTAAAATAGCCGAAATTTGTTTTTTTCGAAATATCTAGTAAGCCATGAACTTTTTTAAAAATCTGAAAGGCGCATATTTATAACCCCACAAAACTGCAATTCTTTCCCCATTTAACCGACTCTCTATCTACAGTAGTTTCCGAGATACCCATAGAAAACATCGTAGGAAACTCACCCTGTATATTGGTGACCGGCGATAGTGGAATAATAATATAATTAATGTTATATTAATGTTATTGGAGGATATGGCTTTAACTGGAAATAAGTCCTAGTTATTTGTAAATCCGATTTAAATAATGTTTTGTAGAAAAAAATGATTTAAATAAAAAAAAATGTGATTTAAATAAAAAAATCTGTTTTTTATTTTTTTTAAATCATGATTTTTTCCAACCCTGGTTTATATATTTATAATTAATTTATTTTTCATTCCTAAAATATTTTGATTAAAAGAAAATATGTAAAAGAGGGCAACGCTGTGCCGGCCAAGCTTAATTACAGCACTAAAAGAACTATAAAACACGTAGGTACTTACCAGCTGTACAAGAATATGTCCCACTATCTCTCAGTGTCAAATTATGCACCCTCAAAGCTCCCTTTTTGGAGCTCTTGTACTTCCTGCTTTGCGGAAGAAAGTTATTGTCCTTCTTCCACTGGATCTTCGACTTATCAAACCTTTTAACCGGACACTTGATCTTAACGGTGGTACCGGTAAAAAGAGTGGCCGCTCCGCCTACTTTGACAGTGACTTTGTCTTTTCTGACGTCATGCTGGATGAAGGTGCTGTTGGTGACGCTAATGTGCGGTTTGTCGCTTTCCACGATGCAGCTCTTGGCGTTGCAGGGCTTTTTTTCAGACGGTTTCGGGGAAGGACACATGGACGCTGGTCGGTCGACTGTGTGGTTTTGGGCCATGACTTGCTTGCAGTCGACTTTTCGGGATTTCTCACCGCCACCGCAGGGTTTGGAGCATTTCGACCATTCGGATACCTTCCATCTATAAAAAGTACGGAATATAATATATCTTTAACATAAATAAATAAGTAAACAACGCTTTATCGTACAAAAAGCCAAAATAGCTTCATCGACAAAGCATTTACAAAACAATCAAAAGCATAATAAATATACAAATCATAAAAAATATCATACAATACAAATCAATTCAAAAAAATTTACGTCATTAAAATTACAAATAAAACATACATGGACATTGCGGAACACAAAAAAGGCATATCAATAAAATTTTAGAATAGAAAAATTGTAAATGGATATAATCATGTAAGAGTTATAAAATATTCAATATTAAATACTAGACATTTAACCAGTGTGTGAGATGATCAAAATTTTAAAATTCAAAATTGTTCATGATTAAACATCAACAAAAAAGTCCTTTACCGCATATAGGGCTCCCTCCCTCTCCAGTAAGTATAATTTCAGAGCTTTGCGAAATTCGGGAAAGAATGAAAGTGACTTGATATTCAAAGGCAGATGATCGTACATTTTTTTGGCATTGTACAGTATTGAACCTTTAACTAGTTGTGAGCTCGGTGTTGGCAGATAAAGATCGTGCTCCGCATTCCTAAGTGGATAGTTGTGAGATGGCCTTTCGGGAATAGCAGATGTGTGCTTGCGGAGCAAACGGATTCAAAAATGAATAAGAAAGGAAGAGTCAGTATTTTGAAATTTTTAAAGAAAATCTGGCAGTGAGTTCTACTGTTCAGTCCCAATAAATATCGAACTGCTCTCTTTTGAAGTTTGAAAATACGATCAAATTTTGTCGCGCAGCAAGTACCCCTTAATGGAAGGGCATAACGAAGATGCGACTCAAAAAGGGCATAATAGACTATTCTAGAGGTTGATAAGTTAAGTTCCTTAGAAACTGACCTTAGCGCAAAA